GGGGGGGGGGGGGGGGGGGGGGGGGGGGGGGGGGGGGGGGGGGGGAAATGGGTAGGAGAGATGGTGATAGGTGGATGTAGATAGGGGGTTATTGTGATTGGTCTGTGGATAGGGGAGTAGGAAGATGGACAGGTCAGGTCAGGAGGGGGAGGGGTGGACATGGGATAAGACTGGGGGTGGAGGGATTTTGAAGCTGGTGGTCAATGTTAAGGTCATTGGGCTGTAAGCTTCCAAGGTGAAATTTCAGGTGTTATTCCTCCAGTTTACATTTGGCCTCACTCTGACAGTGGGGGAGGCCATGGATGGACATGGATGTAGCGGGAGGGGGAATTAAAATGGATGGCAACTGGAAGGTTGGGTTGGTTGTTGGGTGTTGGGTGCTGTATATCTCCCAGGAACTGTAAAAGATTTCCTCAACAGTAGATAAATAAGAGGATGTTTAAAAGAAGGGTAGGATTAATTAGAGATGGAAAACAAAATCTTCTGAAGGACAAAGGATGCTAAATGAAAACTTGGCCTATTTCCACGGAAGCATATTGCATTATGGTAATGAAAAAATGGATGAAGTAGCTGCCAAGTGCAGAAATCATGGAAGTCAAAATGAAAGATGCACCAGGCCCTGATCATTTACATTCTAGAATGTTGAATGAAGTATGAAATGAATAGCAGAAACTTTAACTATAATCTTTCAACCATTACTAAATATGGAAATTGTGCCATAGGATGGGAGTGCTACCAATGTTTAAGAAATGATAAACAAATTATGCATAGACCAGTCAGCTCAACGTCAGTAACAGGTAATCTTCCCAAGGCCGTAAGAGAGAAAATTAATCTCCATGTCTAAGTGAATATTCATTAAGAGCAAGAGTTAGTGTTGTGTCAAAGGCAAGAATTCAAGATGATTTTTGTGAGCAAACTACGGTACATTGATATAAAACATATGTTCATGGCATTTTATTTAAGTTGCTGAATAGTAAGCTTGTTTATAATATGAAGTACATGCCAAAATGGAATACAAAAAGATGTTTAGAAAGGTACCCAAAGTACAGACAAATGTAGTTAGTAGTTAATGATAGTGTTTTGTTTAAAACAGATATAAATAATCATCATATATATATTTCACATTGGTGCTTAAAACCAATTTTGAATATTTCACGTCAAACACAGTAAAAGGTGGAGGTGGAGGATGGTGGAAGACAAGAGAACTGATAGGGAGTAGGGGGTACTGGAATGAGGAGAGGCTTGAGGAAGAGCAATATAATAGGAAAGTGGAAGGTCAGGCAATGCAAGTTGAAGTGGAGAGGGACGGCAAGTGAAAGTGGAGTGGGGGGGACAACAGAGTGGAAGAGGGAGGGAAAACAGAAGGAAGAAAAGTAGAGGTGTGTGAGGAGGCTGAAAAAGAAGGGAAAGAGAATGGAGGGAGAGCAAAAGGAGGAGAAATACTGAGAAAGGAAAATTTACATCACTGCCTTAAGTTTTTCATGAATTCCAGGACTCAAACTATATTTTAAAAAGAAAAAATACATTCCCTTCAGTCTGTGATTTTAAATTTATATTTTCAGGTTACCACCTCAATGGACTTTAATTTCAAATTACTTGATCAAAACTTTCAGAATTTCGGATGGCTATATAGGCTGTCTTAACCTTTACTCCAATAAGCACATAACATACCTTCAGCCTCTTAGAAATACAATCCCAATTGATATTTTCTGCAACTTATCAGTTGTTTTAACCTCCTATTCATCGACAAAATTGGACACACTCCTCCACCATTGACCCAATCAATAGTTTATTCAACTCTTTGGCTTACATCTTGTATGCCTCGTATTTCAAAATCTGAGATCTTGTTTCCTTGTCAAGATCGACATAAATTGAGATTCATATGGGCAGACATTTTAAATCTTTTAAATTGCTGACTACCCAATACTGCTGTCCACACCAACCCGCCAAAAAGCATTTCACCCAGACCTAACCACGATCCTATCCCTGTAACCTGCATTTCCCGGCTAATCCACCTAGACTGCACATCTTTGGACTGTGGGAGGAAACCCACGCAGACATGGGGAGAATATGCAAACTCCATACAACTAGTTGCCTGAGAGTGGAATCAAACCTGGGTCCCTGGCTCTGTGAGGCAGCAGTGCTAACCACTGAGCCTCCGTGCCGCTCCAATCTATTTATTTCAGTGAATCTTCAAAATATCTTGAATGGTGTATTTGAAGATGATTTTGCACTAGTGAGCAGACAATCTGAAACTAATGGTTAGGGTGAAGCTAGAAATTCCACGAAAGCAAAAACAATCACAAGACTATAAGACATAGGAGCAGAAGTAAGCTATTCAGTTCATCGAATCAACTGTAACCCAATGAGATCGCAGCTGATCTGATAATCCTCAACTCCACTTTCCTGCCTTCCAGCCATAACCCTTGATTCTCTTACTAATGAATAAATATATTCAAGGCTGAGATAGATTTTATGACCCAGCCTTGATAGCCTTCTGCAGTAAAGAATTACACAGAAGAAATTACTCCTCATCTGTTTCAAATGTGTGGCACCTTATTCTGAGATTATGCCTGCTGGTCCTAGATTCTCCCACTGGGGGAAATCAACAATTCCAAATCTATCCTGTCAAGTCCCCAGAGAATCTTATATGCTTCAATAAGGTCACCTCTTATTCTTCTACATTTCAACAAGTACAAGCCCAAACTACTCAAAAACAGAAATTCTCTTCTGAAGAAGGGTCAGTGGACCTGAAACTCTGATTTCTTTCCACAGATGCTGCCAGACCTGCTGAGCTTTTCCAGCAATTTCTGTTTTTGTTTCTGATTTGCAACATCTGCAGTTCTTTGTTTTTTTTTGTTTAATGGCCAAATTACTCAACATCTCCTCATTAGGTAGTCCCTCCATTCCTGTTACCAGCCTTGTGAACCGTCTCTGGACTGCCTCCAATGTCGGTACATCTTTTCTTAGACAAGGGGCTCAAAAATGTTCACACCGTTCCAGCAGTGGTCTGACTAGCGTATTGTATAATTTTAGTAAAACTTCCTTACATTTATATTTCATTCCCTTTGAAATAAATATCCAGCATTCCATTTGCTTTCCCTATACCCTTTTAAACTTGGATGCTGGCTTTTTTGACATTCATGGACAAGGACTCCTAAATCCCTCTTCTGGGAATGGTGGGGAGGGGGTGGGGTGGGCGTGCGGTGGATTGGTGGCGAGCACCCCTGCTTCACAGCAGCAGAGACCTGGGTTTGACTCCACATTCTCCCAGTGTCTGTATGGGTTTCCTCCAGCTGCTCCAGTTTCCTCCCACAATCCAAAGATTTGCAGGTTAGGTGGATTAGCCATACTAAATTGCCCATAGTGTCCAGGGATGTGCAGGCTAGGAAGATTAGCCATGGGGAATCCAGGATGATAGGGTAGGGGGTGGGTCTGGGTGGTATGCTCTTTAAAGGGTCGGTGCAGACTCAGCAGGCCAAATGGGCTGTTTCCATGCTGTAGGGATTCTATAATTCTTTGTTCTGTAGCTTTCGCATGCAGTCTTTCTCCAATTTAAATATTTCACAGCTCCTCTATTTAAAACTTGATGCAAAACCAATAAGAAGTGTGTTTTAAGGGTTATCACAGTATTGAGTACTAGCGTGGAAGTGTCTTTCCTGTTACCTATGAGAGATAGTTATTGTAAACTATTTTTTCTACCATTTGTTTGACTTTTATCAAAAAGCAAATTCCACACAGTAATTTATATAAAGCCTTAGCAACAGACAGAGCTCTGCAGCAGGCGACGGAACATCTCTTATACGTGATAAACTAAAACCTGTGTCAGGGATTCTCTGTTGGACCACAGGGCTCACTGCATTTATTATAGACAAGAAAAGAAGCATTCCCAATTTAACAGAATAGTGGCTGAACCTGAGGAAAGCAGTGAGTGTAAAATCCTTAAAAATTCACCAATTCATTCTAAAAAGACAGACCACAGCAATCCCAACATCACTGTAAAAAGGTATCCATAAAACAAACTGTAACAGCTATAGTCACAAGTAATCGAAATGAAAAAAAAACCCAATGAATCAGACCAAGTACTGTGACACTTCCCTTAGAAACCTCCACCCCAAGTACCACTCAATTTTGGAGAACTGATGCAGGTGTAATAATGAGTAATATTCTTTCTGAATCTAGGGTCAAAACAGACTTCCAGGAAATATTACCCTTTATCTGACCAGGGCATGGCTGTCCATATTCAATGTTAAAGGTGTTCCATTTCTTTCCCATTAAGAATACTGCAAGAACACAAAGAATTGCCAAAAGATGTGAAACAAGCAGAAGTTCTACTGTGTTATAGGAGTGACCAACTGACCAACTCTTAACAGGCTATGGTATAAATTTATTCTGAAACTGAAAGTACCAAAGGATTCTAACCTCCAGTGGAAACAAACCAATAAGAGGGCAATATTAACAGTACATTAGATATGCCATTGGTCCCTACTGTTCCCTTTTAAGACTAAAGGAGTCCAAATAGGAGGCGAGATAAAGCCAAACATTAAATAAAAGAATAGGAAAGGAAGGGGTGAAAGACAGGCAAGTTTAGTTGACAAGTTCAGTACATACATCACCAATCATAACCGCCTCTTCTGGTTGGCATCCAATGCTTCGGAGAGCCTCAACGAAGAATGGTTTCTCTGGCTTTCCTACTACTGTGGCCTTGACATCTGTTGCATATTCCAGCCCAGTAATAAAAGGTCCTGGTCCAAGTGATAAGCCATCCAGTTTTTTGTAGTACCTTGCCTTATGTATAGCAATTAGTGGGGCACCATCTAAAATTAACCTAGGTGAAAGACCGGATGGGAGAAGACAGACAGAGATGAAGTTTATATGATGAGTAATTATGTATAGACAAAAAAAAAGCCACAAAATGTTTCTCTTTTCCCCTTGTCCTTTTCTGTAAATATAATTCTATGGCTTTAGTACTTTGCCAAGGTTGTTTTCCCTTGTGTGAACCCACAGAATATTTCAACATGCTATTAAAAATGCTGAGTGGAAGACGACCAAGTCTGGCCCTCTCCTCATTAAGATACTCTGCATAATACATTAAGGTGTATCTGCAAAATAATTATTGCTCTCTACAACCAAGAATCAATACTTTCCCCTTCCCTTTTCAACAACACAAGTATAAGGAAGCAACCAATTCATTTAAACACATTTATGATAGCACTCTTAATACAGTATATTAAAACATTCCAAAGTGATTCACAGAAAGGTGAGAAAATTAGAGAAGTGGAGTGGTTTACAGTAGTAATTCCAGAACTTAGGTCCAATTGTTAGGTTACCAATTTAAGACAGAATTAAAATTACTCTTAAAATGTATTTTTCCAAAAACTCAAAACCTTCTTTAATCTCCTTCTTCCTATAAAGCCAACTCCATTAAACAAACTGCATTCAGCCTAGCCTTTAAAAACACTAAGTTACTGGTCAGCAGCAACACTGGTATGTTACTTTGTTCACATAAGCACATAAAACAGTCGTCTTTCTGTTAGATCTGTTATGAAAGTACCAATATTCATCTTTCACCCGAAAATAATTATCACTATCACATTGCTGTTTGTGGAAACAATTGGCTGCTGTGTTTTCTGCATATTGACAGTGACTGTACTTGTGATTTAAGTACTCCATTGCTGTAATACACTTTGGGACTTCCATAGTCCAGAAAAGTGGTATATAGATGCAAGTCTTCCTTTCTATTCCAATTTTTTATCCTTTTCCAGATTGACTGTCCCAGTACTGAAATAAGTTCACATCCAAGGTGTTTCATCACCGGCTTCTTTCAAATGCAGATTGTAAGTGCAAAACAGTTTACTATTTTTCATGGGACAGAAATCAGAGTTGATGTTTTGGGTCCAATGACCCTTACTCAGAACTGGGAGAGTGTTGGAGGTGGGCGAAAGGATCTATGGGACAGGGAGAGAACTCCTGTCCAAAGAAATGGGCACTGAGGCAAACAAAGAAGAGTTCAACGTTATGTTGTGCCCGAAATTCATTAAGGTGGGGATGCAGAGGGATAAAACTGAGACTTGAGTGCAGAACATTCAGCATTGGACAGCAGAACGTCAGGAGGGACAGTAAATACACAACAGGAAGTGGGGTTGGGGGGAGGGGATGAAGTCAGAGGGGAGGGGAGGGAAGGTTCTGGAGGGGTGTGGGTGTCTGAGTTATTGTAACTTGTGCGCCTTCATGTCTGGAAGGAAAAGAAAAGAAAAGTTTCTTACTAGCACACTGAAGGAGACAGAGGATGAAGTGGAACTAGGAAGTGGTGCAGTTCTGAGCCAGCATGATGCAATGCTGTTGGAGGGCGAGCTCGAGAATGTGCATTTGGCGAAGGGTAACACTGAATGTAGATCTCAGGATGCAGTGAGAACAGGTGTCTGTGGAACACTGATCATCACAAGATACCTTTGCTCCTGGGTGGATGCAAAGCACGAAGGATGAAACTTAAATTGTGGAGAGAAATCAGAGTTAATATTTTGGGTCCGGTGACCCTTTCTTTGAAAGGCAGATCTTTTGGTTACTATTTTTCATCCTGATTTCATAATTTCGGCATTTTCCTTTTTTATTTGGAAGATTTTTTTGGCGTGGTTGGTTAAAGAGCATAAACCCAATTATCTCATGTCTATCTTTGATGTTTAAATATCACTTCTTTACAAGCAGACAAAAAATGCTGTCAACAGCCTTGTCTATTTGGATTTGTTAGGCAAGATATTATATCTGATAAGTTCTGTCTGATTAGCTCTTCCACGTAGTCGAAGGAGTCATGTAGTCAAGACTGTACCAAGGCTAAATTCCACCTACACAGAACCTTGATCTTCAAACTGGATCCCAAACAGTTTAACACAAAAGGTGTAAAATTGTTGAATAGTTCTCAGAAGATTAGACACCTTCATCCTTTGGAGTTGATATCTATCAATTATTGGAGCTCTGAGGTTGTCCAAACCTTCGGCACTTTTTCCATTTTAGAACTCTTGACGTAATCCCTACAATGTGGGAGCAGGCCATTCGACTCATCAAATCCACACTGAACCAAAACAGCATCCCACCCAGACCTACTCCCGATCCTCCCCTATCGCCCTAACCCTGCATTTCCCATGGCTAATCCACCTAACCTGCACATCCCTGGATGCTATGGGCAATTTAGCATAGCCAATCCACCTAACCCGCACATCTTTGGACTGTGGGAGGAAACACTGACTATGATATTAACCTCCAGAGAGGAAGAGGAGATGCATTTTGCAATTTTTAGCTATAGGGATCGTTGGTTGCTAAGGTAGCCAGACCAGGTTGTCTAAAGATAATAGATAAAGAACAAAAAAGCAAAATTGCTTGGAAAACAAAAAGTCATTAAGAATAAAAGAATCAACAATGATATTCACACATCAAATGGGAAAGATGAAAACCCTGCCAAATAAGGAGACATGCTTTGTGGAGACAAGGCAAAGCAAGAGAGAAAATGGCAGATTATATATTAGGATTAGTGGTTGTATATTAGCATCAAATGTGGATTGGATAACAGTCAGAAAACAAAGATTAGGAACAATTCTGTCATTTTTAGATGGCAAGGTGCAACTAACAGAGTGGCTCAAGGATCAGTGCTCAAGCCGCAGCCATTCATAATCTAATAACAATGACTTGGAGAAAGGACTGAACGCAAACATATCGGTTTTCATATTTCTGATGATACAAATCTAGGAAAGGCAGTTAGCAATGAGGAAAAAGCAAAGAGGCTGCAAAAGGATGTACACTAGTTAAGTGATTGGATTGGAAGATGAATTACAGTTACTCACTTTAGTAGGAAGTATAGAAGAACAGCAAGTAAACTATGATCACTTGTTCTTAGAGGTCTTGAGCGGTAGATGCTGAGCAGTTGTTTACCCTGACATCCATCCAATGTTTTTAAAAATAGACTAGGCAATTTTTCTCCTGCCATTATGAGTTTTTCTTAAATTAAAAAATTATTATTATTCAAAGATTGCTTGCCATGAAGATATGCTTATAACTGAAAACCAAGGTAACTCCAGGTCAATTCCAAAAAGTTCCACCCTTTCCCTTTGGAGGCACTGACTTTCTGGGCTATGGTTCCATAGGCTCCAAGAGTCCCTCAGGACCCTCACAGATTCCTCACTTGCAAGCTGAGACAGTGAGTGTCACCAGGCTACTTCCATCCAACATAACAATATTATTTCACTTTCACATATTTTCTAACAAACTTTTCAGTGATGTTATTACACTTTTCCAGAGCAGTTGGGACTTGGGACCCAAGCCTCTTGGCTCAGAGATACAGGCCGCCTCCATTACTTTACTTTTACTCTTACCTGAATGCCTTGTTCAATGTGTTGTAATTAAAGTGCTGAGGAGCTAATCCAACAACCACAGCATTAGGACCACTTGTGTCTATTCCTGAAAAATAAACACTCTGATTAACTTTTTGAACCCTATAGAAAGTGCACTAGGAAAAGACAATTTTTGATTACTTTTTGTTAATTAAAAATAAGTTCTCAAATGTTATTTAATTTTATTTAAAAAGATTCAATTTCCTCCAAATTTCTGGTTGCTTCACCTATTCACATGCAGTTATATAAGCTTTAGTCGTTCTGTCAGCTTCATATCTTGCTCACTCTTGGGTCGGATGCAAACCACCTCATTTCCTTACAATGTTCCAAAGTGCCTCACAACCAAAGAATTTTTAAACACACAGCTGATATTGTTATGGCAGACAAATGTGGCTGTCAATTTGTGCAGAGTTTCACAATCAACAGGATAAATGACCAATTCATCTGTTTCTAGTGGTTTATTTTCTAATAGAAATGCCTTTCAGGGGCACTGGAGTAGCTCCCTGCTGTTCTTCAAATTGTGCCACAGGCTTTTTTCTACCCAACTCAGTGAGCAAAAAGGATCTCAATTTAGTCTAATCTGAAAGAGAGAAGCCTGGCTTTATAAGCTCAATTTTTGTTTTTGAGTAAAATTGAAACCCACAAACATTTGATTCGGAGTCAGGGCTAGCATTCATACCAACTTCATAATAGCTGAGTTTAACTTGAGTTCCAGTTCCAGAATTAAACGGACGAAAATTGATAAGGGTGAAGTGTTGGATAGACTTTTGGTACTTAACGTTGACAAGGCAATGGGACTAGATGAGATACATCCAAGGATGTCGAGGGAAGAGAGTTTGGAAATTGCTGAGGCATGGGGCTTAATCTTTCTGTCTTTCCTAGATGCAAGGAAGGTGCCAGAAGCCTTGAGAACTGCAAACATGACAGCCTTGTTTAGAAAATAGTTGCAAGGATAACCTCAGACAGTCAGGTTAACTTCAGTTGTTGGAAAGCTTCTAGAAACAATCATTTGGGATATAATTAGTAATCAAATGGAAAAAGGTGAGTTGATCAGGAAGAGTCAGCACAAATTTCTAAAGGTGAAATTGTGTTTACTTGACTTGCTGGAGATTTTGAAGAGGTGACAGAAAGGTCATTGAGGGTAATATTATTGATATGGTATGTATGGACTTTCAGAAAGCATTTGATACAGTTTTACACAATAAGTTGGAACAATAGGGACAGTAGCAACATTGTTACAAATTTGCTTCTAATAAGAAAGGGAATTCAGGTCAATGGATATATTTCAGGCTGGACGGTGGCTCAGCGGTTAGCACTGCTGCCTCACAGCGCCAGGGACCCAGGTTCAATTCCAGCCTTGGGCTACTGTCTGTGTGGAGTTTGCACGTTCTCCCACGTCTGTGTAGGTTTCCTCCCGCAGTCCAAAGATGTGCAGGCTAGGTGGATTGGACATGCTAAATTGCCCATAGTGTTCAAGGATGTGTAGGTTAAGTGGGTTATAGGAGGATGGGTCTGGGTGGGATGCTCTGAGAGTCGGTGTGGACTTGTAGGGCCGAAGGCCCTGTTTCCACACTGTAGGGATCCTACGACAAAGGTTTGTAGTAGAGTGCCTCATGGGTCAGTAATGCAATACTTGCTTTTCCTGACATTTTTTAATAACCTAAATCATGGTGTGCAGGGGACAGTTTCAAAGTTTATGGATGTTACAAAACCTGGAAGTATTGAAAACAGAGAGGAGGACAGTGCAAGTCTCAAAAGGACATAGACAAGTTAAGGAAGTTGGCAGATTGGTGGCAGATTAAGTTCAATACAGCTAAGCATGAGGTGATGCATTTTGGTAGGAAGAACATTGACAGACAATATAACCATTCCAAAGGGTACAAGAGCAGTGAGACCTGTGTATTTGTGTATAGCTGATTGAAGGGTTAGGACAGGCAGAGAGAGGGAGCAAGTAATAAAACATACACTATCCTGGGCTTTATTATTAGGTGTAACAGTAAAAGTGCAAGGTGGTGATGCTAAACTTGTCTAAGATGCTTGTTAAACCTCACCTACAGTACTGTGTATAGTTCTAGGTGCTACGTTGTAGGACAGATGTGAATGCATTGGAAAGCATGCAGGAGGGTTTGCAGCAATGAGAAACTTTAGATACAGGAGGATAGACTGGATAGGGCGGGTTTGTTCTTTTTGGAGAGAAGGTGGCTAAGACGAAATTTGATAGAAGTTTTCAAAATCATGAGCAGGATGCAAAGAGGGGAAAAACTGTTCCAATTTCTAAAAGGATCAAAAAAGTGAGTGCACAAATTTAAAGCGCTTTGCAAAAGAAGTAAATGGAACGTGGAAAGAAACATTTTCACACAACAAGTAGTCATAGAGGTCTACAACATGGAGACAGGCCCTTCATCCCAACTTGCCCCTGCTGCCCAGTTTTCACAATTTACACTGGTCCCATTTGCCTGCGTTTGTGGAGGCAGGTTTAATTGATGCATTTAAAAGGGCATGGAATAATTATTTAAAATAGAAACAATATGCAAAGATATGATGCAAAGGCAGCAGAATGGCACCAAGTCATGAGGCTCACTCGGACAGCCAGTACATACATGATGGGCTGAATGGCCTCCTTCTGCAGTGTAATATTTTTGTGATTCTTTGACATGTCTTATCCCTTTGCACATCCCATTCAAAGCCCTTCAGAGTCAGCATACCTTCAAAGTCTTCAAGTGCACTATCATCCACCAAAAGTAACGGCCTGACTTGCTCTTGCTCAACAAGATTTCTGGCTGCTGTCAGGGATGTGAAGATCTCGTCCTCATGGATGTCAAAGTTGAGCTTCTGCAGTCGTTCACACAGTGTTCGTTTACACTCCTTGGTGGTGTTAGTCACAAACTTCACAGCTACAGGGGCACTGCGCAACCTATGCAAGTTATTAATACAGAAGTCAATGCTAACTTCTTTCTCAGCTCATTGTATAAAACCATGATGTGGAGGTGTCGGTGTTGGACTGGGGTGGGCAAGGTCAAAAATCACACAACACCACATTATAGTCCAACAGGTGTCTTCAAACAAACCTGTTGGACTATAACCAGGGTTGTATAATTTTTGACATTGTATAAAACAGCTTCTCTCTTAAAATAAAACATAGCTGCACACACATGGAAGTTACCTTTGAACTGTAATTAGAAACTAAAATCAAAGTTAAACCCAAAAATAAAAAACACCCAACAGTTAGTTCTGACAATTTTTTCAGAAATCAACGTAATCTTAAGATTTCAGTGAACACTTTGTCTAAACAAAGAAATTGTTAACTACAACTATAAAAATTGTTGACACTATGCAAGCTTTATAAATTGAATAGGGGTGCTTAGCAGCAAACAGGAAGGTGCATACAGATTCTGTTCCGCAAATATGCTATTATTAATGCAGGTTTCAGCACATATGTCAGAGTCCAGGCCCCAAACAGACAAGGGCATAGGATGAACTCAGGGTGGGGGACTTCAAAGTTTATCACCAAGAGTAGCTTGGTGACACCATCACAACTTGGCCAACTTGGTTAGCAGAGCACAGAACTGCAAAAGATAAAGCAGGTATATTTGCAACCATCCTCAGCTAGAAGTGCCGTGTGGATGATCCATTTTATTCTCAAATCCCAAACTGGATTTAAAATAATTTGTCTTTTTCAAGAATTCCCTTTGAGATTTTGTTGAAAATTATTTTTTGAGTTTTGGGGACTACTTTTTCATTCTCACTAACTCATTTATTAGCTGATGCTATCATATATCTTCTGTAGTTCTGTTGATACATGAAGTACTTGGACCAGCACAGAAGCAGAATTAAAATCATTCATAAATGCCCTCAATAATTACCAACTCTCCATTAATCTTAAATGCACAACAAGAAAAACATTAACACCATTTAATTTAAATTTGTTCATGATAACAGGCACAAGTTAATACTTATTTTCAAAAAATAACCAACAACCCCTTTTACACATGAAAAACCATCACCCTAAACATTACTTTCACGGGCTGGTGAGGTTGTAGTTAATGAGTTTCATTGTGTGCACACACACAAAGCTGTAACATTTTAATCAGGCAGTTGTTCAGCACCATTCATGACCCCTCAGATATTGAAGCAGTCCCTACTCATATGTAGCAAGAATTGGACAACACCCAGGCTTAGGATAAAAGATGGCAAATTACATTTGCGCTACGTAAGTGCTAGGCAATTTCACTGGAAAATGAACTGGACCAGTGAAATCAAAATTGTGGCTACAAGATCAGGTCACAGACTGGGAATACTGTGGCAAATAACTCATCTCCTAACTCACAAAGTTTGTTGGTTGTCTCCAAGCCACAAGTCAGGAGAACGAAGGAATATTTTTCCCCTAGTCTGGATGATCAGTGTTCCAGCTACACTTCAGAGGCTCATCACCACACAGAACAAAGCAGTACAACTTTTCACAGACCCTTAATCGAAACCTACCGCCTCTACCACATACCATAAGGGCAGCAGATGCATGGGTGCACCTCCACCTTCAAGTTCCCCTTTAAACCACACAGCATCCTGACTTCGGCATCACTGGAACTCCCCTCTCTAACAGCACTGACACTACATGGACAGCAGCAGGTGAAGAAGGCAGCTCACCTACATCTTCTCAAGGGCAATTTGGAATGGCAATAAATAATGTCTAGACAGTGACACCTACATCTCACGATTGTATAAAGAAGTGCATTGGGGCCAATGCCTATTTTAGCACTATGATCCTTCCCTTCATCCGAACCGAAGCCCTACCTTACCAAATTGGGTAACTCTCAAACCAGCTGGCCCTGAGCATGCTGAGTGCTGAATACAGGTCCACACACAGCCATAGTTCTTAAAGGACCCAACACCAAAATAAAAACTCTTAAAAAAATACCAGAATGTGGATCTGGAAGGGAAGGTATGCAATCTTAGGTAATGGAAATAAGTGAGGATGGACTTACTTCTGCAGTGCTTCCTGTGCACCAGATATGGCTGTATCTTCAATATGCAATGTTCCACTGAGATCTATTAGAACAGCCTTTAATGCTCGTCGTGTTGCCATTCTCTATTGACAAGTGTAATCTGACAACATAAAATTGGGAAAAGAAAAACAAAGCACTCAGATTGGCAGAACCAATTTTTATTTGCTCTTAGTATATGGGTAATGTTGAAAAGGCTGCATTTGTTACTTGTCCATGTACTGAAAAATGCGCTACTAGCCCATTCTCTTGAATCACTGTATGGCATTGCACCCATAATTTTGTTAGAAAGGGAATGCTAAAGTTCTGATCCAGGTATGAAGGCATATGCTGATGTTTCTGTTCATCCAGAAGAAAAACAGCACATTACAAACAGATACTCTGTTAGTCATATATAAGCAGGTCAGTTAGTTAAATTGGCTGAACAGCTGGTTTGCAAAGCAATGTGATGTGAACAGGGTGGGTTCAATTACAACACCGGCTGACGTTACCATGAAGGACTCTCCTTCTCGATCTCTCCCCTCACCTGAGGGCGTGGTGACCCTCAGGTTAAAACCACCACCAGTCATCTCTCTCTAACGAGGGAGCAGCTCTATTGCCCTCTGGGACAATGGCGATGTTACCTTTACAGCGGGTCCCTGACTTATAAACACTCATGAATGCTATCCTATTCAGAGGTGCAATTTTTGAAGACCCGACATACGTACATTTCCTGAACTTACGCATAGCTGCTTCACGTTGTCCTCCATTGTGTTGTGACTTGCATACAAATCAACTTGCGAATGGACTCAAGAACAAAACGCATTTGCAGTCCAGGATTGCCTGTACTTCAGTTATATCGGATATATCTCATATAACTGGATGAGTTCAAAAGCTGTACAATGATCTCTTTCTATTTTTCTGTTGTGTTAATCAAATGTCTCATTGTTATTTTGATTTTTTTTCCATTTAGTAAGTCATTTGCATCCTTACTGTGTCTTATCTGTAAATCATTGCTAGCCAAAGGTTTAGATGGGATGAGAGGATGGGGACAATCTGGAAAGTATGAGCAATATTTGTCTTTGTGCCTCAACGATTCACCCCAAGTCCAAATGAAAGACTACTCCATAATTTAGTGTGATATTCCATAGTATAAGAAGAATTAGGAGCAGAGATAGGCCATCTGACCCCTCAAGGCTGCTCCATCACTGAATGAAATCATGGCTGATCTGATTGTGACCTTAACTCGGCTTTCCTACCTACCCCATAACTCTCAACTCCCTTGTAAATCAAAAATTTGATTAAATATGTTAAGAGAATCGAAAGACTAAAGACCCTCTGAGAGAAAAAAAATCTCCTAATCTCTTATCTTAAAGGAAGTCCCTCTGTTTTTAAACCGAGCCTGCTTGTTCTAGACGAGGGGAAATATCCTCTCAGCATCTACCCTGTCAAGACCCTTCAGAATCTTATATGTTTAAATTAACATTCTCCCATTTATCACACTGTGGGCATTGTGGCTGGGCCTTAAACGAATCCTGGAACCAGATGTTAAAGTGCAGTGATTAGGATCGAGGATGTTTCAAAGTATAACAATGTAAGAGGTGCATAATGAAGCAAGACTGTCACTGGAATTTCCAATATTAAAAACAGCATTGATGTCAATTGTCATAAAAACCCATCTGGTCACTAACTCTTTTAGTGAAGGAAATCTGCCATCCTTGCCTAGTATCCACACCTGTTCTGGTCTACATAGGACTGCAAACGCCAGGCAATGCTGACAACTCTTAAATGTTCTCTGAAATGGCCTTGTCAGTTGTGCTAAAGCCACTACAAAATTTAAACCAAGGAACGAAACAGGACAGATCATGTGGCATCAATGTAGATGCCCGAAATCCCAGCCACATTGTATCTGTAAAGTCCTGAAAACCATCTGGATGTTGTGCTAAAATTAGGAGAGCTAATCCATAGACAAGTCAAGCAATGTGACAAACATGGAATCATGCCTTACTGCGTCCCAGACACTGCCATCTCTATCCTTGATTATGTCCTGTCCCACCAGCAGGAGAGATCCACCAGAGGCAGCAGAACAAATGGTAGTGGTGGGGGAGGGGTGTGGAGTTGCTGTGGAAGTCCTCAACATTGAAATTTCGTGGCATCCTACAGTCATCGAGCCATAGAGTTGTACAGCACAGAAATAGACCCTTCGGTCCAACTCATCTGCTCTGACTAGATACTCTAAACTTATATAGTTCCATTGCCAGCATTTGGCCCATATCCCTCTAAACCCTTCTTATTTATGTACCTATCCAAATTCCTTATAAATGTTTTAATTATAGCAAGCATCCACCACCTCCTCTGGCAACTCGCTATATACCCGCTCTGTGTGAAAAAGTTGTCCCTCAGGTCCCTTTAAATCTTTCCCTTCTCAACCTAAACTTATGCCCTCCAGTTTTGGACTCTCCTACCCTGGGAAAAATACCTTGGCTATTCACCGTCTTCATACCTTTCATGGTTTAATAAACCCTCTATAAAGGTCACCCCTCAGACAAGTAAAACATGAACAATGAGATCTCCTGCTAATCACCACGTACAGCCCCCTGGCTGATGAATCACCACTCCTCCATGTTGAACACTATTTAGCAGAATCTGGATTAGGATCTCAATGTCCATCACAAAGCGTGGCTCGGCAAAGGCACTCCTGACCTAGCTGGGCAAGAACTTTTCATCTGCTGGACTGGGTCTGCAGTAGGTAATGAGAGTAACAAGGAGCATGGACCTCATTCTCAGCAATCTACTCATCACAGATGCACCGTTACATTACGATATCATCAGGAAGGACCAGCACACAATCTTGTGGAGACCAAGTCCTGTCTTAACATTGAGGATACCCTAAATACATTGTGTTGCATTACCACCATGCTAAAGGGGATAGACTTTGAACATATCTAGCAACTCCAAACTTGGAAACTATGAGGTGCTGTATGTCATCAGCAGTAGCAGAACTATACTGAACCACTATTTGTAATCACATTGCCCAGCATAGCCCCCATGCTACCATGAAGTCAGGGCAGCAACTCTGGTTCTAGAAGAAATGCAGGACAGCGTGGCAGCAAAAACACGAGATGTGTCAAGCCAGAGAAGCTACAACACTAAACTACTTGTGTGTCAATAAGATTATGCTGCGAATAATAGCGTTAGAGTCATACAGCACAGAAACAGACCCTTCGGCCCAACTTGTTCATGTCGACCAATTTTCCCAATCTAAACTAGTCCCATTTGCCTGCGTTTGTCCCATATCCTTCTAAACCTTTCCTATTCATGTACCTAGCCAAATGACTTTTAAATGTTGTAACTGTACCTGCATCTACCACTTCATCTGGCAGTTCATTCCACATATGAACCACCCGCTATGTGAAAATGCTACCTCTCTCAGGTCCTTTTTAGATCTTTCTCTTCTCACCTTACAAATATGCCCCCTAGTGTTGAACTCCCCCATCCTAGGCAAAAGACCTTTGCTATTCATCTTATCCGTGTCCCTCATGATTTTATAAACCTCTAAGGTCACCCCTCAACCTCTACACTCCAGTGAAAATAGTCACAACCTTCCCTTATATCTCAAACCCTCCAGTTCCAGCAACATACTGGTAAATCTTTTCTGAACCCTCTCCAATTTAATAATATCCTTCCGATAGCAGGGCGACCAGAACCATACATAGTACTCAAAACGTGGCCTCACCCAATGTCCTGTGAACTTCAACATGACGTCCCAATGCCTACACTCAAAGGTCTGAGCAATGAAGGCAAGTGTACTAAATGGCTAAACCATCCTGTCTACTTGTGACACAAATTTCAAAGAATTCCTAGGTCTCTCTGTTCTACAACACTACCCAGGTCCCTACCATTAAATGCATAAGTCCTGCCCTTGTTTGTTTTATCAAATTGCAATACCTCACATTTATCCAAATTAAACGTCACCTGCCTTCCTCAACCCATTGACCAAACTGATCAAAATCTCTTTGTAATCTTCAATAACCTTTTTCGCTATCCACTATACTACCAGTTTTGTTGCCATCTGCAAACTTAATAACCATGCGTCCTAAATTCTCATCCAAATCATTTATATAAATTACAAACAAAAGTGGACTCAGCACCGATTCTGGTGGAACACCGCTGGTCACAGGCCTCTAGTCCGAAAACAATCCTCCACCACCACCATCTGTCTCCTACAACTGGGCCAATTTTGTATCTAATTGGCAAGCTCTCCCCAAATCCCATATGATCCAACTTTACTAATTATCCTACCATACAGAATCTTGTCAAAAGCTTTATTAAAGTCCATGTAGACAAAGTCTACCGCTCTACTGTCATCAACCTTTTTGGTTGCATCTTCAAAAAACTCAATCAAGTTTGAGAGACATGATTTCCCACGCATAAAGCCAAAATCCCCTCCAACAACTTACCCACCACTGATGTCAGACTCATAGGTCTATATTTCCCAGACTTCTCTTTATGGCCTTTCGTAAACTTAAGCACATCAGCAACCCTCCAGTTCTCCGGCATCTCACCCATGGCTGTAAATGATACAAATATCTCTGCTAGGGGCCCTGCAATTTCTTCCCTAACTTTCCACATCATCCTGGGAAACACTTGATCAGAAAGCTGCATAAACTTCCAGTAAATGTTTTTGAAGAAACCCAGCACTTCCTCCTATAATGCCCTTTTAAAGATATCAATATTAATTTCCCCGAGTTCTCTAGCCTCCATTTCTTTCTTCACAGTAAAAACTGACACAATATATTCGTTTAGTATCTCTCCCATCTCCTGTGGCTCTGCATATAGATGACCTCGCTGATCTTTAAAGGGCCCTATACTCTCCTGCTCTTAATGTACTTACAGAATCTCTTTGGATTATCCTTACCCTTATCCGCCAAGAATATCTGCTATCCCCTTTTAGCCACCCTGATTTCCCTCTTAAGAATGCCCCTATACCCCTTATACTCTTCAACAGATTCACTTAATTCTAGTTGTCCATACCTAATATTTGATTCCTTCTTATTCTTGACTGGAGCCTCAATACCTTTGTTCATCCAAAGTTCCCTATTGTTACCAGTCTTACCCTTCACT